TCTCTCTCTCTCTCTCTCTCTCTCTCTCTCTCTCTCTCTCTCTCTCTCTCTCTCTCTCTCTCTCCGTCCAGTACTAACCTGTGAAACTGGCGCCTTGATGCAGGTACCACGAAGATGGAGCTGGAGCTATGGCGCCACAAGTAAGTCTCACTGACCTCCGCCAGCCATCTCTCTCCAACACTGCTACTACTACTACTAGCGCCCTGCGCTGAAGACTACTCTTGCAGCTACTAGCGCCAGCGCTGAAGACTACTGCTAGCGCTAACGCTACTCCTGCAGCGCTCCCCCAGAGTGTTGCTGCCGAATCCTGAAGACTGCCTCCTGCCTTCTACCTTCTACCTGGACTGTATGTGAAGTGCCTGGCCAGTCCCTATGAACTCCCTTGCCTGTAGGGCGGGCCAGTCTTATATAGTGCTGGCCCGTCCAGGAGGCTGCTCTTGCCAATGCCCAAACGTGCTAGATCCTGAGGAAGCTTCCGCGAAGTTTCCAGGTAGCTTCTGGCTAAAGCCTGAGGAAGCTTCCGGGAAGTTTCCAGGTAGCTTCTGGCTAAAGCCTAAGGGGGTATAGGCCCTTGTTTTCAGGCTGTCAGGCTGAAATGACACGGGGCCTGTAGGCCCTGGTTTTCAGGCTGTCAGGCTGAAACAGACACGGGGCCTGTAGGCCCTGGTTTTCAGGCCGTCAGGCTGAAACATACACGGGGCCTGTAGGCCCTGGTTTTCAGGCTGTCAAGCTGACACAGACACGGGGCCTGTAAGCCCTTGTTTCTAGGCTTTTAGACTGAGACTGCGGGACAGGCCCTGCAGGCCCGTGTGGCTGCGCAGTATGCCACAAATAGTCACTCGTCCCCTTCCCCTCTCATTCCACCAAGTGAGGTGAAAATTCTTTCAACGTTCGATCCCTGACAATGTAATAAGTGAGTGGGGAAAGGTTAGTTGTATGCCAGGACGGAAAAGGAAAAAAAGGTAAAGATCAAACTTGGAATATGAGAGAGGTGGATGGATTTTTGGTGACCAATGAAGGGAGAGAGAGAGAGAGAGAGAGAGAGAGAGAGAGAGAGAGAGAGAGAGAGAGAGAGAGAGAGAGAGAGAGAGAGAGAGAGAGAGAGACCCTTAGTCTAATCAAAGTCAGACTTTTACCCATCCTACCGTCCTACCTAAGACCCCTTTTACGAAACACAATCCTATGTACTTTGACCATGGCACCGGTTGGCCAAAGAGGTGGAGGAGGAAGAAGTTGCGAAAGCGCTTGGTTATGGTGGATGGGTGAAGGAGGTGAAGGAGGATGAAGGTGTGAAGGAGCTTGGCTAGGGTGGATGGGTGAAGGACACGGACGAGAGAGAAGATGTGGTGGGGCATGGCTATGGTGGATAGGTGAAGGAGGTGGAGGAGGAAGAAAGTGTGAAGGTGCATGGCTCTGGTGGTTCCTAAGCTTAGAGCCTCTTCCTACTTCCGTCGTCCTCACGTTCGGATCATCGGAAAACTCAGACTTGTGATATTCTGATTTGCAACAAATACTCAGATTTTGCAACAACTCATATTTGCAAAAAATACTCAAACCACGAAAAAGTTGAAAAAACTCATATTTGTGAATTTTTCGTTTTTGTCCGTTTTTGCTAGGGGAGGGAAAACCGAAAAAACTCGAATTTGCGTTTGGTGGCTTAAACGACATCAGATGGCCTTATAACTTCACCGACCCTGAAGTATTTTTTTTTCCTTTTCTTCTTGGTGGCACAAAGGACAAACAATCCTCCTCTTGCCCTCTCCTTCAACCAAATGAGATCAGAATTCTTTCACCGTTTGATACCTTGAAACGATATTCGCCAGTTCGCAGTAGCTGATGCAGATCCCAGGGCTCGATCCTTAGTCCCCACCTTACCGGTGTACCGTACTGTGTTGACCCGTAGAGTTAAACCCGCGACCTGTGTATTTGTAACAGTTGATAGGTTGCCGTAGGGTCCATAGGTAGCATGGGTTTGATCTGTAGACCTGTCGAGTAGGAGTCTTAGTCAGGTCTAGAAGTCCTAGCTGTAGCTTTCCTGAAAGGTCAAGGTCGTAGCTGCTACAATCCAGAAGGGTCAAGTCGTAGCTGCTACAATCACGAAAGGCCAAGTCTACGGCCTTCCGGAAGGTCCCAGTAGTGGCCTTTCGTAGTTGCCCACGTTTACACTGAGGCAAGTGGGCAAGTGGTGAGGCAAGTGGTGGAGTCTGCTCGTGCTGAGTCAGCAGTCCCAGTCCTAGGCAGTCCGGTCCAGTCCAGCAAGTACCGCATGGGACTGTGTGCACTTTGGGCATGGGAAAGGGCCAGACCAACGAGCTGCAAAAGTATAAATCAAGAGGCAGCGCCCAGACATTCATTCATTCATGCGTGAGCCATGCGGAAGCGCTGCCACAGCGACTTGTGCAAGGAGGTCTGCAGTGAGCCCAAAGACGAAGTGTAGCCATAGCGATAGGGTAGAGGCGGCCATAGCCGCCATAACTGTAGTGAGTGTTCTCTGTATGTCTGTGTGAGTGTTCAGAGAGATGCGTGTGGGATATCCAGGGTGATCCATTGTATGCAAACAGAGAGTTGTATGGGCGCTATATCGCCATAGCCATTGAAAGTGAACTCGTATCTGGGTTGCCATATCTCTGAGTTTTGAGTGGGCGCATGTCGCCAGTTGCTGTGCTACTGTTTGCATGCATGTAAAGTGTGAATTAAAGCGAGTCTGATTGCATTGGTAACGGAGCAGGTACCCGGTATTCCATGCGTGCCGTCGTGTGCAGGGAGTGATGCGCCATAGCTGAGGTGGCCGCCACGAGAAGAAGTCCGCCATAGCGGACCTGGAGGTTGGAGAAGCCGCCGCGCACCTGCAGAGAAGACCACGACGAAGAAGAAGACTGAGAGAGAGAGAGAGGGAGAGAGAGAGAGGAGAGAGACAGGTTGAGCGATACAAGATTTGGTTACTACGTACCTGCTGTGTTGGAGATA